TTCGCTGACCTGGGAGAACCCTTCGATCCAGTTGACCGTGAAGCTGTGATGGGTTCCCTTCTTCGAAAAGAAATGCCCCAGAAGTACGTTACCTTACTCAGGTCACTGTACTCATATACCTCTGGTCGGGTGAGGGTTTGAAACGAACCAAGTGAATCGTTCGTCTGCAGAGGCGGCGTTCGCCATGGGGGGGCCTATTTCACAATTCCTGTTTAATTTCGATGTAGACAGAATTCCCAAAAACGCACGAAATGCTCCCAAATCGTAGGTTTTGAGTGGGCGGTTGGAGAGAAGCTGTGCGATTTAGATTTAGATGACGTCGTCTGTCTGTTCGAATGTACGCACAACTGTCCCAATGATTTGAATTCGCGGCTCTGTCGAATTGGATCGTGCTGAACTTTGATCGATTCTTCAGCTCACTGGGTGATTCGCCGATGCGTTCCCAAAAGATGAACTATTTGATCTTAGAAACAAATGCAATAAGAAAAAAAATTTTGTCACTAGAACGCAGAACTTAGACCTGTTATGTCAGAAGTTGGGGAGCCTGATGACAGTAATGGATTTATAGATAACGCGCTGGGTTATGCGGCACGAAGAACTATGAAATAACTCTATTCTCTTCTAGGGTAATTTTATTTAGTGACCACTTGTTCTACTTGGTGTTACATACATATCGGGGAAAATACAGTGATGTTTCACGGTTCGTTGAACGACCAAGGCCGAAGTGTTGGTACAACACATCCTAGCAATGGGTGAAACGCGGAAGCCTCAGTATGGTCGGCGTGGGCGTCTGGGATTGTGACTGATCACCATTTCCTTAGACCTCGTGAAATGCTCCAATACGACCAAGCGTCTCAAATAGCCTCTGCTGAGGAAACTCTACCCACTGCTTTCTCGTGGCAGTTTTCCCACCAAAGTGAGAAGACGAAAAGCCGACATCCGAGGCTATAACCGGGTAGGTGAACCATTGGTAGTTCACCTGGGGGAGTTGACTAAAAACCCTGATTCCAAACCAACCGAGGAGAGGCGTACGAGCCATACGCACATCTTTCTCGTCGGGGCAGTGGTCACCGGCTCAATTGGGTATCAAGGTGTATTGTGCACCTTGGACGTCTGACCGCGTCCAAACGGCGTATGATCCAATTAACTGGACACCGGCCCCCAATGGACTGCGGACTCTGAGCTCCGTCCTGTT